CAATACATGGCATATTGTGTTACTATACCCATACATGGTATATTGTGTCACTGTACCCTATACATGGCATATTGTGTCACTATACCCAATACAGAATATAGAATGTAATATAATTACCATACAGATTGCAGCAAGGAATCAGTCAACAATATCTGGCAAAATAAATGAGACACTGTAATGGCTACTCACTGTAGATTTTGAAGCTCATAGAATATTTCAGTGATCCGATCACGGATGTAAATCGTCTTGCCAGTTCGCTCTATCAGTGGCATAGACAGCAGTTTGGGAAATGCACGAACGAATAGCGCCCTCACAGTGTCCACTCCTGTAACCTGGTTTGGCATCCAAGCTCTTCTTGTCTCATTTACATATTGTAAATACACCAAACCTGGGCAGTGAAAAAACAATACTATTTTAACACTATGTGGATCAAAACACTGAAATTAAATTATTTTACAAAACATAGATTAAACACAATTTAATTTTAATTTTATTTTTTACTTTTCATTTCAATAGTATTCTGGCAAAAGTTGCTATAAATGCAAATATCTGGCAAGAGGGATAAATACATGATTTCCTCATAAATTATACAAAACAATCTTGCATAAAAAGCAAGCAATGTACTAAATTATGTTGATTATTATATATCTTGCATTGTAGGAAACGCTGTCAGAGATACTTGGTTGAGAGCGGTTTCAAAGACATGGGTCTTTCTTATCTATCTTTGTTAAACAGAATTTACACAATAATCACTTTAATTTCACAAATCAGTGAAAATCATTAAAAAAATTTAATGTAGGAGATAGTTATGACACAGGCTTGATTTGTATGCAGCTCCATACCCAGGATCATACACGTCTGTCTGCGATGATTCATAAATTTTATTTTTTAAAAGAGACAAACGTAATTGTTTATTTGATAAAGAATAATACTGGAAATACCACTTTCATTTTTTTAGGAACATATTTTGTAGTAGATCTGCACAATAAATAACTGTTTTTCTACAGGAAGTTACATGTACTTTCTCTGAGCTTTGTACTGACAGCCAAAATAGAGAATATTTCCAAGTAAAATGAATTAATCCACAAAATATGGTTAACTAAAAATCCTTCTCTTTATGCTTCATCAGATAATCATACCAATTTTAGTTTGTGGTATGACAGATATATTTTGATATAATTCATTGACATTTTTAATGCCAGTTTGAATACAGTGTGACAGACAGATCAAACCCAGATATCAAGTAACACAGTACACATTTATTTGGTGTAAATGAGACAACATGTTGTCAGCACTAGTGAATGATTGATTGCCACGTGTGTATAAATAACTGTCTTCTGATTTCAACAAATATTTTGATACACAAACCTGCAGGGAATCATGGTGGATTTAGCCTTCACCTACAATAACTGACAATGATGGAAAGCATGGGTAAATGCCATCAATGTACTACCTATGTCAAAGTAAATTAGTGTCAAGGGGTCACTGCACTTGATAAAAGATAAAATCAAGAGGCTATCAATAACAGGGAGAGGACAATGACT